AACCGTTGCACGCTCGTATGATATGCGGGCATTTGCTGATTCACCGCCGACTACGGTGAATATCGATTGCCCTGAAAATTATAATTGATGGCCTTTAAATACCAACCCTGTATATTAATAATATGGGTTTGCCGAGCACAAGCTGAACAAAAATGATGGATAACGTGAAAAAGCTCATGCAATGGCATGACTGAATATGAAACATAGTCGTTTCATTGGGCTAAGGGGCATAAATTGTTTGGCTTCAGGGGGCTGTGAAACGAGTGGTTCGGAACTAATGACAGCGGCGATGCACTGGGTAAATTTGAATTTTTCGTTTACACCCTCTGCTGATATTTAGTCAATCATCAGGGGGAAGCATAGCGAACCGCAGCTGCAATTTTAATCATAATATAGCATGATCGTATGTCTCATGCTCTGATCTGATTACAGCAAGGAGTCTCGATCTTCCTTCACTTTCATGAATGAGCCATTTTGGACCCGTTGGTGCGGTGTTAATCTCCGTTTTTATGTCAAGGCAAGCACTGCCATTATCATCCTTGCTTTCCTCAGAGTGGTACTTATTCCCATTTATCAATCTTACTAAGAACATGGGCGAGAGTAACTCCGACCGGGGCGTAAACTGGGAACTATCGGTTCTGAATTCGACGCTCTACCATATGAGCAATACCGATCTTAAGCAATCTGTGATAAATTCAGAAGAGAAAGATCGACTCAAGCGGAATTGAACCTGCAACCTCTGAGTCCTTAAAAATCAGTTATTTGGAGTTCGACGCAGACCTCTTAGACACTACCGGACAGTCACCACAAAAATTCCTTGTTGATTCTATTACTCGTAGGTCAGCGACCTGTTTTCCGGTTCTTACACACCAAAGCATAGTGAAATGAATTCTTTGTTTAAGAGAATTTGCAGTTAATAAAAGAAAATTTTCGCACGCTTTGAGTCCGATACCTCAAAAGTGCACAGCCCACTACTCACCTATTGCGACACCGAACCCCTCTCTCC